TGACCAATTAATTTCTTTCTATTTTTAGTAGAGATAGGATCTTGCTTTTGCTCAGGCTGGTCTTGAACTCCTGACCTCAAGTGATCCTTCCGCCTGGGCCTTCCAGAGTGCTAGGATTATATGTGTGAGCCACCGCGTCCGGCCAAGCCCAGGAGTTTGAGTTTGCTGTGAGCTAGGCTGATGCCATGGCACTCTAGCCCAGGCAACAGAGTGAGACTCTGTCTCAAAAAAAAAAAAAAAAAAGAGATGGGGCCTTGCTTTGTTGTCCAAGGTGAAGTGCAGTTTAGTGGCCCGATGATAGTTCACTGCAGCCTTAAACTCCTGAGCTCAAGTGATCCTGCTGCCTCAGCCTCCCAAGTAGCTGGGTCTACAGGCATGTGCCACCATGCCCAGCTCATTTTTTAGTAGAGATAAGGTCTCATTATATTGCTCAGGCTGGTCTTGAACTCCTGGCCCCAAGTGATCCTCCAACCTTGGCCTACCAAAGTGCTGGGATTACAGACATAAACTACCATGCCTGGCCAGCTGTGGGTTTTTCATAGATGCCCTTTATCAGGTTGAGAAGTTCTCTTATTCCTAGTTGTTTATTGTTTTTATTAAGAATGAATTTTGGATTTTGTCATATATTTTCCTGAGTTTATTGAGATGATAGTGTTTTTCTTTTATCTATGAATATGATGTATTACATTGCTTTTCATATGTTCAACCAATTTAGTATTCCTGACATAAATCCTACTTGTCATGGTACACAGTCCTTTTTATATACAATTTGCTAATATTTTTGAGGATTTTTTGCATCTATCTTCATAAAATATATTGGTCTTTTTGTTTGTTTCTCAGAGAATCTTTGGCATTGGTATCATGGTAATACTGGCCTGATAGAATGAGGTTAGGAGGTATATCCTCTTCTGTTTTTGCAAGAGTTTATAAAGGATCTCATTCATTCTTTAAATATTTGGTAAAATTCATCAGTGATGTCATCTTGTCCTTGGCTTTTTTTGTATGGGAAGTTTTTCTTTAAATATTAACTCAAGCTCTTCCTTTGTTATAGCTCTAGTCAGATTTCTAATGATTGATTCTTTTTTTTTTTTTTGTTCTGGTCAAGTGGAACAGTGGGAGTGGAGAAGGAACAAAGGATGTAACTGGTGCGATCAATTAGTTGTAAACACTAATTATTCTTAAATCAATTTTTTTTTGAAATTTCAATAGAGTTTTATCTTGAAAGCAAATAACCAATTTTGCTAGTTTATGGTCTTTCTAGAGAATTTGTCCATTTTATCTAAGTTATCAAATTTGTTGGCCTACAATTGTTTATAATGTTTATTATAATCCTTTTATTTCTGTAAGGTCAGTAGTAATGTCCCCTTTTTTCTTGTCTTTTCTTTCTTTTGAGACACAGTCTTGCTCTGTTGCCTGTGCTAGAGTGCAGTGGCATCATCAAAGCTCACTGCAACCTCAAACCCTAAGCTCAAGTGATTCTCCTGCCTCAGCCTCCAGAGTAGCTGGGACTACATGCACATGCCACCCACAATGGACTAATTTTTAAATTTTTGTAGAGATGGGTCTGGCTATGTTGTCCAGGCTAGTCTCAAACTCGTGGCTCAAGCAATCCTCCTGCCTTGGCCTCCCAAATGCTAGGATTATAGACATGAGCTACTACACCCAGTCCCCTCTTTCTTTCTTGATTTTATTTATTTGAATCTTCTCTCTTTTTTCCCTTAGTCTGTCTAGCTAAAGCTTGTCAATTTTGTTGATCTTTTCAAAGAATCAACTTTTGGTTTCATCGATTTTTCTCTATTGTTTTTCTATTCTCTGTGTGGTTTATCTCTAATCTTTATTAATTTCCTTCCTTCTCTTTTCTTTAGTTTAGTTGCTCTTCTTTTTGTAGTTTAAGGAGGGAAGCCATTTGTGTATTTGAGGGAAAACCATTCTGGACAGAGGAATGGCAAGTGTAAATATCCTGAGGCAGGGGCATGTCTGGCATGCTCAGTGATTACTGAGAAGGTCAATTTGGCTAGAGCAGATAATGTAGGATCCTTACAAAGCATTCTCACTAAAAAATATGATCCATACAATCTGCTTAAACTTTTAAAAAATTTAGTCTGAGTGCAATAAGAAGTCATTGGAAGATTTTTTTTTTTTTTTGAGACAGAGTCTCACTCTGTTGCCCAGGCTAGAGTGCCATAGCGTCAGCCTAGCTCAGAGCAACCTCAAACTCCTGGGCTCAAGCGATCCTCCTGCCTCAGGCTCCCAAGTAGCTGGGACTACAGGCATGCGCCACCATGCCAGGCTAATTTTTTCTATATATATTAGTTGGGCAATAAATTTGTTTCTATTTTTAGTAGAGACAGGGGTCTCACTCTTGCTCAGGCTGGTTTCGAACTCCTGACCTTGAGTGATTCACCCGCCTCGGCCTCCTAGAGTGCTAGGATTACAAGCGTGCTAGGATTACAAGCGTGGCCCATTTGAAGATTTTGAGCAGGGAAATGACATGATATCACATACACTTTAAAGGTTCATTTTGACTGCTTTATTGAAAATACATTATGGGGAGGGAGGGGGGCATGGGCAATATAAGTAACCTTAACACTTGTACCCCCATAATATGCTAAAAAAAATACATTATAGGGAGGGAAGGAATGGGCAGAGAGACAATTAGGAAGCTATTACAATAGTCTAGCTGATATATTAGGTGGGCTTGGACAAGGCTAAGAGGAGTGGAGAAAGTGGGAAATGGTTAGGTTTTCAGAGATTGAATGTCAGTGTGATAAAAGAGAAACAGAAGAGTCAAGATGAAAAAGTTTTTGTTCTAAGGACGTGGAAGAATGGAGTTGTCATTTACGGAGCCAGCAAAGACAACGGAAGTGAGCTCTTTGGGGGTAGGAGGTATTAGAAACTTAGCTTTGAACATGTTACGCTTGCTATGTCTAGTTGGCATCCAAGTGGAAATGCTGACTAGGCAGTTGTATATGTAGGATTCTGGAATCCAGGAGAAAGTGGATTGGAGTTATGATTTGGGAATTATCAGTGTATGAAATGGTCAAGCTCTTTCATGTTCATTATTGTTATGGGAGTGGCCAAGGGATCATTAAATAAACATACTCTATCTGAGCACCTGCTCGGTGTGAGGCATGACGCATAGGTTTTAGGGTTGGGTAATTTAAGGGAGAGGTTGCCATTTATTAATATTTACAGAAACAGGGGACAGAGGAGGTGGTGCAGTTCTGGGGGGAAGTTGGCAGGATCTATGTTGCACATGTTGCATTTGCAGTGTCTGCAAGTGTCCAGGAAAGAGTTGACTGTGTAGAGGTGGAGCTCAGGGGACAGGTCTGGGCTGGAGACTTGGGAGTGGCTGAGATAGGCCAGGGGTAGCATGAGTCTCTCGGCAGCTGGGAACAGGGATGACACATCTTCCCATATTCGTTTTATTTCCCTTAAGCGCCTGCTGTCATCACACAAAACGCTCTTA